TGATGTATCATGGTGTTAGCACTGATGTATCATGGTGTTAGCACTGATGTATCATGGTGTTAGCATTAGCATCAAAGCTGCTACAGCTGAGATTAACCCTTGCGAGCTGTGTTTTTAGTTACTGGTTAATTTAGTTTCTTGAATCACAGTTATTGTTTCATGATTGTGTCGAAGGTTAATAATTTCTTTAACATCAAACTCAGAACAGCTGCAGGAAAGTTTCAACTTCTGTCTTTATTTGCTCCATCGTTGTCTGCGTCACGTGTTCAGGGTCAACAGATTTGTTGTTGTTGTGGATGAAGAGAGACACCTGATTTAACAAGAATGATTTTATTTGCAGAACAAATATTTTACTAAATGTTCTGATTATTTCAGCTCCAGAATAAAAGAAATGATTTTGTTTGAAATCATTTTATCTTTTAAAAAACAAGTCGGACAAAAACCTGGTTCACAGCGTCGACACTTTATTTGAAGTTCAAACTCTTTTATCGTTTGTTTTGTTCTTTGTAATAATTCAGTTTTATTTGAATAAAGTTCTAAAAACTCACTGAATCTTGTTCCAGTTGCAGGAAGTCTTTGTAAAACTAATTTAAACTGAACATTACAGAAACAAAAGTGTAAAAAAGAAGCTGCTCACATGTTTTTAACAAAGTTTAATAAACGTTGGTTWTAAACAGTTCTTTTATTTTGAAAAGAAAACAACAGATCAACTCTTCTCACCAGGATGAGTTCTCATGTGTTTGGTTAAATTCCCTTTTTGACTAAAGCTTTTCCCACAGGTCTGACAGGAGAACGGTCTCTCACCTGTGTGAGTCCTCAGGTGAGTGGTCAGGTGAGAACTCTGAGAGAAACCTCTCCCACAGAACTGACATGAGTAGGGTCTCTCACCCGTGTGACCCCTCGTGTGAAATGTTAAGCTTTTCCTGTGTCTGAAGCTTTTCCCACAGGTCTGACAGGAGAACGGTCTCTCTCCTGTGTGACTGTGAACGTGAATGCTCAYGTGAGACGTCTGGAAAAACTGTTTTCCACAAAACTCACAGTGAAGTAGTTTCTCATCTGTGTGAGAGGTTCTGTTGGACTTTGGTTCTGGATGGTCTCTGGTTTCTGGACTTGTCTTGTTTTGTTTCTGGTCTTGGTCTCTGCTGGATCCCTGGACCTCAGTCTGGCTTCTTTCATGGGCCTGGTTCCCAGGTTTAGGAGAGTTCTGGAGGAGGAGCCGGTCCCAGTTTGGTTCTGGTTCCCAGTGGACTCTTTGTTTAGAAGCAGGACTCCTGAAGGTCTCAGCCTCTGGACTGACGCAGAGTTCCTCCTCCTCTTCTTTCAGCTGTGGAGGTTCTGGTTCCTCCCGGTCCAAACTGGAGCTCCTCTCTTGGTACCAGAGCTGCTGGTCAATCAGAACCTCCTCCTGCCGGTCATGAAGCTGAGGTTCTGCTGGAAACAGAAGAAACAGAAGAAACAGAAGACTGATGTGACGAGAAGAAAACAGGATTTATTTCTGGACAGGGTTCTGACCCGGCTCAGAACTGGACCCAGTGGACCCAGGTTTACTCAGAGTATAGTGTAGTAATGTGTTTTTCTGAGCCGTCTTTAAACGCACCATGAGCTGATCTGCACGGTGGTTCAGAGGAGAGGCGTGCTGCTGCACAGCTACACAATGGTTGTTACTGATTGTGTGTTTTTAATCACTAACCTGTGATTGGATGTGACGAGATGACAAATCACTGAACATCATTATGTCGTCATCATAATGATGACATCATTATGATGACATCATTATGATGACATTATGATGACATCATAATGACATCATTATGTCGTCGTCATAATGACATCATAATGATGACATCATAATGATGACATCATTATTTAGTTGGGCTGGGTTTAAAAAATCTATTTAATCTGGATTGATTCATGAGATCGTTTTCCCCCGTGGGTGTGTGTGTGTGTGATGAAGTTGTGTGTCCATGTTGTGTGTGATGAAGATGTGTGTCCATGTTGTGTGTGTGTGATGAAGATGTGTGTCCATGTTGTGTGTGTGTGATGAAGATGTGTGTCCATGTTGTGTGTGTGATGAAGTTGTGTGTCCATGTTGTGTGTGTGATGAAGTTGTGTGTCCATGTTGTGTGTGTGATGAAGTTGTG